CACGTGGGCTTTAAACAGTGCTTCACGCGTCACGCATTGAAAGGGAAAACTTCAAATCTCAACTTGCCTCGTCTTTCTGTAAAATTAGCGCGTCACGTACTGATTTAATCATGCGTTTCGTAAAAAACCCTTTGCCACAGGTTACCTAAAATAGTCATTTAAGTGTGTTAAAATCCTTCCATTTACAGACCGCTTACAAAGTGCATGTTTGCATTGAAGGCACGCTGGCTCTTTGTTGTTCGGGTCTACTTGTGGGATTTGGAAAAAGTGAAGACTGAGAAAAATGTTTGCACAAACTCGTCTTTGAAAAAATGCTTTTGAGTTTGATTACCGCATTTACTCAAATAAGTGGCGCAGTCTCGGTTCAATGTGCGAAGAAAAGCAAAACCAGGATAATATCTGATTGATATCGACACATTAAATGAATATTGCTTTTAAAAAAGACACTTATATTTGACCCTCGAAATGGCAATTATGTATTACTAGACTAGAGCAAGGGAAATGATGGCATCCAGAGGATCAAAAAATAGACTCTTACTATTTCTTTCTTTCCAGCATGCTTCTTTTATTAAAATTACAAATAAAATTTCATTTGACAAGTATCACCTAAAGTAATTAAGAAAAATATCATTCACCCAAGCTAAAGCTTTGTCACTGACAAATTCGTTCTCAGTCCCCCTGAATGCGATAGAGAAAGCTGGCTGGCTTCTTCTTTTTTTTTCGGCCGTCCATGGATAGTTTATCGAGAGCGAGTCCGCTGTGGACGCGCATTTCGATGAGAAATTAATCACTTACCGGCCAAGAGATGGAAAATTGACTTTATATCTTCTTGTTCTCGCCAATTTATTCAAAGAAGGATAAAGAGTACTCATTTTATCCTGTATTTTAAATGAATCAGCCGTTCATGTCATTTGCTCGAACAAAACAAAACAAAACTGAAATTCTTTTTCTAGACTAGACTTGCATAAATGCCTTTTGTTACTAACCAAGAAATTTTCTACAATTATTGTCATTTTTTTGCTTTCATAGTCTTATACTATGGCGAGAGGAAGACGAAGATAGATTTGCCTGGATCTGCTCAGAGTCGACTGAAAATTCATAAATCGACTATAAATAGTTGTGGATTTGAATAAACCTGCAGTTTATAAACCCTGTAACTTTCAATATCTCATCAGTATTTTCCTCCTTCTTTTTAATATGTCTTTTACATTTTGTTGTGAAAATCAGATGAAATAATTCACCGCACGCAAATCGGCGCAGTGCACGATTTTTTTGTCAACTATTCAGCCTCAGATTATCTACTTAAAATGTGTTCCGGTTCTGTAGAGATAGACACTGTCTGATTGCGTTTGAAAAATGGAATGTTTTTCAGTTCCATTAAGTTCTTTGTAATCAGTCAGCCTCTATTTTGGAAAGTTTTCCACCGCCGCCGATGTTGGAAAGACTTTCCTCCGAGCCAAAAGCAGCCTGAAAATTGGTAGTGAACAGAATAACTTTTTACTGGACCTTACTAATAGCTAGGAAATTGGTAAGCTTTTGTTGATATTCAATTTGATTCATTTTTCCATTTTATGAAATAAATTTACAGCAGTCCGATTATCATCATTATTATTTTACAAACTGACATAGATCCATGATGATCGATAATACAGAAATAAAATGGCAACAAGCTTAGGAAAGAGAAATGATTTAGAGGCAGGATGTTAAACTAGCTGTCAAAGACGATGCAGTATAAACTACAAACAATAAAAGTAACTCCATTCCTTTTAGAAGCTATCATCTCGCATCCACGGCCAGCATAGGCACAAAGAGGCCATGTGGGATACATCGAGCCAGCCATACCCGAAAGTTCCCGCGTAGGTGCTTTGTAACCAGTCACACCCTAAAGTTCCAATTCGTCTTTACACCACACGGCACATTTGCTTGTGGGATTCATAGGCTGATTGGGTTTACATTTAAACGCTTTGGCAAAGTCGTATGAGTTAGACAGCGTTCCGATAACTCTAACAATTGGATGGAGAAAATATCGGAATGTTAACCTGGCGTTGCAAAGATTAACAATTAAAAAATCCTCCCCTGTATTCTGCAGACATTCCCCAAGCTCTAAGGACGTAGCTGAGGGAGGAAAGAGGCCTCTTGGGGTACGGTGTATATAAACCTTATCTGTGATATTCAAAAGTGATAGCGTGATAGAGCTCATGGTCTCTCGGTGATAATTTCTAAAAATGACACCACATTACAGTCCCCCCCCCTCTATGAGAGCCCCCTAAGGTACAGACATAATGTGAATATTGGACTCCTTCCAAGTAGAAAATGTTCCTTACGTCCCTAAGCTTAGATTAAACTAATGTTTGGTCTAGTACATGCGTGTTCTACCTGAAGGCACCCTTCTACATTCTATAAAAGAAAAAGAAAAATTGGATTCAAGGAGAGGTTATCTGAAATGTAGATACGGCGAAATTGCCCAATTTCAAATTCGCAACGGGCAGATGATATCGCTTTTGATTTTGTAAAGAGAGAGGAAGCTACAAAACGTATTGACCAGTCTGTTAAAAAAAAAAACAACAATAACAACAACAACAAACTTCGTATTTCACCTGAATTTTTCCTCCGAGTGCCTGTCACTTAATGTCGCCAGGTACTGTTCCGTTGGACGGCTATTACTACAATAAGCCTTTGTAGTAATAAAGATGAAAAGAGTGGTTAATGAAACAGTCCAAGTACTTTACCACCAATTTTCCTTCCTACTCGTTAGTCATTGGCTGTTTCCCCCTCCTCCTTTGGTATCACATCTCTGTTCTCTGTGTCTTAATGTTCGTTTCATGTACCTCTCCCCCTTTGTCCGTTCTTTGATCCCATAACGCAACACACCCTCTCCTCTACCAGAAGAGGGTCTTAATGGGGTGATGGCTCCTACAGCTAACTGTTAAAATTTCTCTATTTCACGGCTAACGGTTGATTTTTTTTCGTTGTGATATAAAGAAAAATTTCACGGTTAACTTTTTTTTACGACTAACGATTAAAATTTGTCAACTTTTACGCCTAACGACAATCACCTTTTTTTCTCGCCGATTTCGTCCAATGGTTAACCCCGTCGAGACTCTCACCAGAAGGGTATTGCGTGAGAGGACCAAGAAATGGCTCTCAAGGAGACTCTCACTTTCCAAGCCCCTTCGAGACACCAATCGGGGTGTGGCTCAAGCTTTAACCACTTAACTCCCAGATCAAATTTGTTATTCTCCTTTCTATCAACCGTACTATTCTTATAATGTTAGTTCAGAGAATTTAGTAATGGATCAACTAATTATCCCGAAATTGACATTTTTCTTTATTCTCATCGCTTATCTGGTTGTATTGATATTGTAAGGAGAAATTCTGTCTTGGTCACTCATGAGAGTTTAAGGAACCTGGTGTATTACCAGATCTCCTCTTGGCATTATGTAACTTATATTCATGACAGAGTTTGATTGAATCAGTTAATTACCTGACCAAATCCTATGAAGAATAGCTGTTCACTTGTGAAATTTATGCCCGGTAATCGCCAAGCTTCTTGGCCATTTTTGCGCAACCAGTTCTTGTAGGCCTAAAAATATAAAAAATGGAAAAGGACTGAATGAATAGGAACGCGTAGCGACGCTTACAGTCATTTCTATAGCGTTAATTTATCATGGCTCGTCAGCGCTTTGTAATCAAATCCACGATAGCTTTTAATTTAGATAGTCTCAAGTTAGGAAGTCAACAAAACAAAAAAAATCAATCTATAAATTTCACGAGGGTTATACTGCTCAAGTGTATTCTTGGTATCTAGATCCGTAACTATAAGAAATTCATTTCAACTTACCATGAACGACGCTTTAAACCCTCCGTTATCAGCAATGTTTTCGCCAAGAGTAAGCTTTCCGTTAATCTACAGAAAAATGACCTGGATTAAAATCGATCGCCAGGAGAGTAATCATCGTTGATAAGAACTGTACAAGAACTTTCTAAAACAAAATTCATGATAACTCTATGTTGTACAATTATTTGTTCATAACCATGGAAACAAGATATGAAGAAGAAGAAGAATTTGAGTAAAAAATATCTCCCTGGAAAATCATACAAAAGCAACATTAGATAGAGGTTAAATGATAAATTGCTGACTGATTTCTGTGGCAATGTGAACTAGAAATTAGCCTGTTAATTTTCTACTTACTGGATATTTATCTCTGACTTTGTACATAGAATACTGGTTTTCCACACATTTTGCCTTAGCATTGAATCCATCGAGCGAGTCTTGAGACCACCACTGAGCAGTTAGCTCGCCATTCTTATTGAATTTTCGACCTATTCAAGGCAAAAAACTAAATGAATAAATACGCAAATTGAATAAGGAAATATTTTGATAAATTAAGCATCTCATAAACCCCTTTAAAATAAAGGAGGATAAAAAAAATTGAGTTTTGTTTTGTCGAGACTTGGATATTTTGAACTCCGGAACAAGAGACTGCATCCTCGAGCGTAGATTTGTGTTCCATATACCGACAGTCATGAATCACTTTTTTATTCTTATTAAGTCTGATATCCCGAACTGACCCCCAGGAACTTCAAGCTGATGCTACGACACTTTTCTTGAATAACTTATCCGAACCTTCGTAGCCAGCAATCAGAAAGAGAGCGGATATCGCACGACTGACTTCCCGCTTGAGCAATGTCAATCACTCCGGCGCACTGTTTGAGGGAAACATTACAGTCTTTTCGAGATCTTGAGAAGAATTCATTCTCAATGTCGATCGAAGCTAAGCGGATGAGAGGGTGTTATGCAGTTGAAGATTTTTAGTCGAATAAAGTAATCATTACTAACCTGTGTTGTCGAATCCGTGAGTCAATTCATGACCAAGAATTGATCCAATAGCTCCAAAACTCAACGATCTGATGATAAGAAAAAGATATCTTGTTTCCATTATATTTCCATCAAATGTTCTTTAGAGATTTACAAGTGGAAATCAAGACTCGCTGTTAAAGCTCTTTCTTCGTATGGCAGTGCAACTGATCATTCATCAAAAATTATTTCAATTTTCGTCTTGGAAATTTTCAACTCATACCTTGGACTCCCCTTGGCGTAAAAGAATGGAGGTTGGAGAATTCCGGCTGGAATAACTGAAGATCAAAGGAGTTAAAACAGGAGATGATAAGTTTAAAATAAGATATTCGCATAAATGTAAAGAGCTGGCCTTTTATAGCTTAGAGATCATGCAAAAATAGGTGAAGTCAACATACAAAAGTCGCGCAGAAATGAATAAAAGAATGTATGATTGGAGAAACAAATTATAATTTATGTTACTCACTTATTTCATTTTCGTTAAAACTGTACATTGCGTTAATCGTTTGTGGGTCCATCGGCCACCTAAGTTTTAATAGAAAGAATTGAGAACACTCATCTGAAAACACTGTTCACGCTGTAATACTAATCACATTAACATTTTGTATCTTATTTGGAGAACGTAAGAAATCCAGTAAGTAGATATCGATGTATGAATTCGGATGAAGGAACAAAGGAATAAACTGAACAAGGGAACGAATGAACCGACGAGCGAACAATCGAATGATTGAAAGAAATGGATGAATGAAGGAAAGAATAAATAAATGAATGAAAACTTGAATAAAAAGTGAATAAGGACTCGCGTATATCAATTCAATGAACTACGGAGTCAAAAGACAATAACGTCACTGTTGTTCACATGAGAAAGTCTTGCAATCCTCTCACTTTCAAATGTACAAGAGAAACCACATTTGATCGAGCCAAATGTATGTATAATCTTATATTCCGACCATGAAAGCACCAAAAAGAAAGGACTTTCTTAGTATAGGTAATAACATGATTTCGAGTGCAGTTTTGTGTTAAGAAGCATATTCAAGGGGAACAGAATTGCACGTGCCCGTAGGGCAAGTGCAATGTGTAGTCATTGAAAAAATATCAAATTCTTATTTACTCCAAATTGCACGAGAAATCATGTTGTTACTTTTCATTAATGCCAAGGACAAAACATCTGCATCTGAGAGTAAAGAAAGACGTAAATTTTGGCAGCGCGCACGCACTATTTGTAATTTGCACTCGTGTTACATGAGAATGCACTCGTTTTCAGCCAATCAGACGTATGTAATATTTCATGTACATCGTTATTATTGATACCATCCCTTTACTTTATTACTTTTGATACTATCCCTTTACTTTAAACAATTTAAAAACCTGCAGTGATAACTCACTCTTCTTTATCAACGGGCTTTCTTAGTTTCTTAAGCATCCTTTGGTGCGCCATTTTTAAAATCGCGATTCTATTCTTGAAAAGACTGTCACTCTTTATTTCTACCTGAGAAGTAAAAAAGGAATAGGTTACTAAAAGCAAAATGCTGCATCTTTAATTCTTTACCAATTTACATCTTTCATGATTTCAAAATGATTCCGTAGTTTTAACTAACAACTTACCACAAACTTGTGTTAGAATAGCACTTACGTGGTCGTAGCACTTACGTGGTCGTAGCACTTACGTGGTCGTAGCACTTACGTGGTCGTAGTACTTACGTGGTCGTAGCACTTACGTGGTCGTAGTACTTACGTGGTCGTACTTCTTGAATCTCTTCTTAAACTTTTCCTGTTCAACTAAATAGCGCGGAAAACCGACCTCATCATGCATTGCATCTGCCTGATGGAAAAAGAAAGATTTTATAAAACGCATATTAGACTGGATAGCCATAAGACTGCTACAGCGGAGACTAAGAAGGTTGAAGGAGGAGAGTTTCTACCCAGCTACAATTTAAAGACAATACGAGACAAAATGGGCCAGTAAAAGATCCCCACTGTTGAACTGCGACTGAAGAATTGTACAAAAACCTTAAAAACTCAAGGCGTCGACGCGGTTTAAATTCCCACTTTCAAGTTCTTTTCAATCATTTGGTAATGGCGCAGAACTACCAATTAGCATCTGAGAGGCACTGGTTCGTAACCTATCGAAGCTTGACTTTTTGCAAGTGTCTTTTTCAGGCAGTTTATTCATTTGCAGTTCTCTTGCGAGAATCAATCGACATTTGTTATCATTTACCGGTCAGAATGTGATTTATTTCAGTTCTTTGTGATTAAAACGACCTAATTGATAAAAGCAAACCTTTTCCATGACCACCATTTTTGTGTTGTTGTCCATCCACGGGATTGCGTTAACGTTATCTTTGAAAGCATTGCGCACCTCCACAATCATATCCTCTGCCTAAAACACGTGATGAAAAACGCAAGTTAATTATGTAGTCCGTAAATCATTGAATAACTTTCATTTACTGCAGTTACTTGTCATTTAATTTTATGGTTGATCTAGCTTTTTTTTTTTTAATTATTATTTTTTTTGTTTTCAAATGTCTTGTTAATTTTTGTGCTTGTAAAAGAATCAGGTACGACTTTTTCCTCACCATCTTTTTGCTGCTGTTACTGAAATGGTGCTCCACGTAAGCGGATCCTAGAATGTCTCCCAAGAGCTCGTTCGTAAAAGTCACGCACGTCTTCCATCTCTTCTTTTGACCCTTGGAACCCAGGACCCTCTCTCTATACTGCGTTCGGGCCTTGCGATAGGGCTTGGAAAGGAAAGAGACTTCGTCTTGAATGACATTCCAAACGATGTAGTTCGCTAGGATTCTAAAATAAAGAGAGACCAAAGCAGTGATAACCTGGTAATACCGTATCAAGCACAATGTTTTGTTAATGTGAGGCAGACATAGAGTGACATTGGTATCACAATCGTCATTTGTTGGAGCATTATTATTAATTTTTTTTTAACGAATAGTTGAGGATAGGAGTCGAGGACCGCAGTATCGCGGAATTGGTTCAAATCATATTCTTGATATTGGTTTAGAGACCTGTCATCACCAAGAGAATATCAATTGATATTCTCTTGGTCATTAGCTATCGCCTGGGTGGGATAAGGGGGAGGGGGGGGGGGCCGGGGGGGCTATCACATGGATTTTCAGGGGGAAAGGAGGAAGCAGTAGTCGCCAACAGAGTATAAAGTGAAGAATATAGAAAATTGAGTACCAAGTAACTGCCAAAGAGGGCAGATCATACAAAAATATTACAGAGCCCCAGTGGGATCTGGTAAATTTTCTTGTGACACTACCAAAATCTTCCGACCCCTCCCAGGTGATAAATAATGACCGTTCCCTTACTGTACTGTTATTTAACAAATAGAGAAGCCTTGACTGTTCTCTGTTCTGTTGTAAAGCACACATGAAGTGGCTAAAGCTCGAAAGAAGTGTAGGGAGAAACACCAGAAACACTGGCTCTTTCAACCGATGATGGTGCGCGTTATATCCGAACTTTATTATAACATGGCATAACCTGAATGAAGAATTTGCGAAATGTTTTTGGCAGGAAAGTCTTACCTCTTAGGAGTCTCTTTGATAACTTTTGTCATATTCTGAAGATAAGGCAACGCTGGAACTATTATCTCTTCACTATCTTTCAGCGTTTCGTTGGAAAAGATGGAAGATAGATGTTTCATCCAGGGATACTGTAAAATAAACATTAGAGGATGATAAAACACACGGAAGACTATAACTGACGTTGTTGAAACCTTAAGTTCAGATGAGGTGAATAGTGAATTCTAGGAAACAGAATGACTTAAACAATTCTTTTTGCATTTCTTCCTCCCCCTAACCGAAGATTCTTTTAAGTACACTCCCTTAGGGAAATTCGAAAGTTGCAGGTTTCTCCAACTTCATTCGTAGGCCCCAGTCTATTGAAAACTGATGCATCTTTATTCCAGAAAAAAAAATAAAGAAATATTACTTGATTATCTTTTCCTTACCCCAGGTGCTTCTTTTTTCAGTTTACCAATAGTCATTCGGTTGAACCACGTGTCAGTCTTGTCTGCATCGGGGACACTTATCTGAAGAACACATTGAATGAAGACACAGACAGACAGAGATGTGAGAGAATACTTAACGGCAATGATTTTTGATCACTTAGAATGCTTGATCTATCTAAGATATTCATAAACTTTGAATAATCGTGTAATGAAAATTGTGTGGCTAGCAATCTCACCTTTGCCAGTTTCTTTTCAAAGGCCACGATCTCTTCAGCTCTTTTCTCCATCTGGTCATCACCACCGAGCAGTTTTCCGACTGTCGTGATGAACTGCTTGTACGCCTTCATAATCTTGATCAGAGCAAACATCACGTTAGAGCAAGAGAAGATCAAGTGGACAGACAGAATTACACGCATGCGCCTTATGAACCTTTGGAGCTATTTTTTTCACGCAAACCCTTCTCCCGCTCATCGCTTCTTTTGTTCCTCTAAAGCCCATGGCTTAACACGATCCTGGCTGGCTTAAGAAAAAAAAACCTAACGACA